GATTTGAACGATCTGAGCGTTCGACGCTCAGATCGTCCAAATCGTTCAAATCGCGCTGCTCTAATCGCGCTTGAGGCGCCGCAGAACTTCCCGACATTGCTTGAAGCGCGTCCACCATAGACTTTGAATGTAAACCTGCTGCTCCTGACGCTGAAATCGCGTTCGGTGTGAACGCACCATTAGCATGAAGGTTCTCAAACTGGGGTCCCAGGACCCCCAGGCATCCATAAGCCATATCTTGAGGGTTCTCAAAAATTTCAATAAATTGTTGATTTGTTTTTTATTTCAGAAAATGTTTATGGGGAACGATGCACTAAAACAAACCAAACAAAAAACAATATTCCCATTGAATTTAGGGGTTAAAATAATAATGAAATAATACTAATAAAAATTATGCAAATTATTTTAAAACAGGGTTTATGAGGGACTTTCTGGTACTTTTTCATCCTTGCAAGGGCTCTCCAGAACCAAAAGGTTTGAGAACCCCTGTCTTAGCAGGTCAATCTCTAAATAGGACCAGACGAGCTGCTCTTTGAAACCATCTTGCTAATTTAACAACCGGCTTCTGGGAGCGGACTATTTTCTGCGAAATGCAGAAGCTGCTCCACATAAACCAACACGCCCACAAAGTTCACAGTTGTGACCTACCACAGACTGCAAACCATATTAGCCTGCAACACAGAGTACTGACTGGGAGCAGGGTCCACGACAGGGTGTCAGTGAGAGCTAACGGATGAGGATTAAAGCTGGAAACATACTCCCTGGGAACTGCTGACATCAGCACGGGTTGTCGCAGTTTAATGACAAAAATTACGTCACCGGGCTTCGCAGCGTCGTGTCGACAGCCCCTTTTGGCACAACCTGCCGGCAGAACTTTTTGACCCCCCTCCCTTGTCGACGGTAATGTGTGATTGGTCTGAACTGAAAGCGCTCGGACAGACACAGCAGAAGAAAAAAAACAAAAACTCGCTTCTGACTAGAGCAGACTGTTTTGAGCAGTTTTAAAGATAGACAAACTGAGAAAAACTCGTGCATGTTTGTGCTGACAGCGCCATGCGCTGCATTTACTTCAACCACTCGGTAAAAAAACAAAAAAAAGAAGGAAAAAAAATCGACTCGCTCCCCGAGCCGACCAGGAATCAGTTTTATAAAGATAGTCAAACCGTGAAAAACTCATGAATGGAGATAAACAGACATAACAGATAATCAGGCACAGAGGAATCTGAAAGTGTGGAGCTTTAACCAGGACAGATGTGGATAAATACGTCGGGTGAGTGACGAGTCTGACTTTTTTTTCTGCATTATCGGCTGTTGCGGGGGAACTCCATGCAGTGACGTATGTTTCAGGGAGAGGGGTTTCCCGAATTCGGCGCGGGGGTGTCGTAGGGACTATGAAAGTTCTGTGCGAAAATGACTGCCAAACAACCACGTGACCGCGCGTCGACCCGTCAGCGTCGGAGCGAGTATGTTCCCACCTTAAGACAATTTGGTCACGAGATGTGATCGGCTGTACAAGTCAGGCTTTGGGAAGCAAAATTAGCATCAGCAGCTGTAGATTTAGCATCAACAGTTTTAGCATTAGTGTTAATTTAAGTAGAATTAATAAAGTCATAGAATTTAAAAAGCAGCTGCATCATGAGTAGGATTAGTAAAATTAGCAGTGGTAGTAGAACTAGCAATAGTTCTAGCTTTAGCAGTAGTAGTATTAATATTACCAATTTAGCATTAGAATTAGCTATGACTATTTAAAACTAATGATAGGAAACCTTTGTTAAAACTTGATAAAACAAAAGTGGGAACATCCATGTGTGAAAGCTGTGATAAAAGAACAGTGTGTGGCAGTTTAGTTAGGTTGCAGAAAAAAAGAATAACAGAGAAAGAGGATTCCTAAAAGCAGTAAACTAACGACCCTCCTGTCTCTTGACGTTATGAAACATGGGACTAACTGGAACTGGGTCATCTGGACCTCGTGTTCCTGTTTCAGCACAGTGGAATCTTACCGTTGTGAACCATCTGCAGGTTGAACGGCTCTCCTCCGTAGACGTCGTTGAGGTGTTTCATGGCGATGATGAGGCACAGTTCCAAGATGGACAGGCCTGCACAGAGTACAACAGACCGGACTCAGGTACTGGACCGCACACACCTGGACATTCTCACCCCAGCCTTTTACCGTGGAGCATGCTGGCCTTGGTGTCGGCCAAACAAAGACGACTGGCGTCCAGCAGGTCGGCCGGTCTGATGGCAGGTTTGGTCACGGAGACGCGACTCAGGCACAGCGTCTAAGAAAGATTAGGTTGGCGCCGTGTTTCTGCCTCAGAGAATGTACGGATCAGAACCGTCTTACCAGCAGCATGTGCAGAGAGCGGAAGTCTTTACTGGAGTTGAAGTGTCTCTGCAGAACCTCCACCGCTGATTTGTCCTCACAGAGAGTCTGAAAAGATATAATGTGATGTTTTTTTGTTTGTTTTTTTCCTCATCTATCCTTGTGTGGTTTTTAGTTTTTCTGTTAAGGGTAGCGCCTCCTCATGATGTCTTCATGAAGATGATCCTTGCTCTGTGCAGGGGTCAGTGGCTGCATGACCCAGGGCACCTGTTCTCTGTTATGTTCTGTCTTCTTCTGAATGGGAGTTCTGAACTGGAATTTTATTGTGCTCTGTACAATGACAATAAATGTCTCTCTAATCTAATCTAATCTAATCGTTCAAATGTCAAGAAAAACTAAAAAAAAAACGTGTTGAGTTTGTGGGGAACCGTTGGACTCACCTTCACGCTGGCGCTCCACTCCTGAGCGAACTTTCTGTCGGGGAAGTCGTCCGGCAGGCTGAGGTGGGCTCGGACCCGGTCCACGTACTGGGGGAAAGTCAGGCTGCTCAGCAGGTGGATCTGACGGTGGGAAAAGCGTGACTTCACCCGCTTCTCCAGCAGCTCCAGAACATCCTGGATGGCAGGAGACAGGAGGTACAGCCCTGAGGTTTCACTCTGTGACAGATGATGGAGCAGCTAAATTATTCACCAAAAAAACAGGAGATAATGTTTTTGTCATGGTTGTATACAGGTCTCTGTTTGAATTTAACTTCCAGGAAATAATCCCTGGCCCACCAACAGATTAACTGTTACACTCAATACAGTTTAACATGAACCAAGACAAGATGGTTATAATTCAGTCTCTTTTACAGATACTGTGCTCAAATCAGGGCTCATCAAATTCAAGGACCTTTCAAGGACTTTCCAGTGTCAATTTCCTCAAATTAAAGAGCCAAGCGCAACGGCAGTTACCTCCTGCTACCACATAATGTTACCAATAAACAGGTTTAATATCATGTAAATTCAATGAAAAACTGAACAACATGGATGTTGAGTCAGAATCAATGAAAGAAAGTGGATTAAATGTTTACCCTACATTCATATCTACAATACATGGACATTAGGGGTGCAACAATACACGTAACTGTATCAAACAGTGCTTTAGGTTCAGTACACACTTGTATCGAACAATACAGATTTTTAAATTTACTTTATCAGCTTGTCTTCTGAAGATGRTCTGTGTTAAAGGATCAGTGGATCTGTGTTCGACTACTCCACCTAGGCTGCATTTTTGAGCACAGGTCCACTGAGAAACTTGCTGTTTCAGCAACATTTAATTTAAAAACTGTATTTGGAGGTTAAACAAATGGTCATAATTAATTTAAATAAATTACAAGTTAAGAAGGGCATGGACATTTCTCTGTTTTGTTTCGAAAAAAATTTCGAACCGTGAGACTAAAGTATCGAACCGAATCGTGAATTTCCTGTACCGTTGCACCCCTAATGGACATGTAATTATATTAGAGGTTCAGCAGCTCAGTTTGGGAGGAGGGGGTGTGAAAATGTCCAGACCCTCTGTGAGGACAGGAGGAGCTGTGGTGCTCTCACCAGAAAGAAAGACCCGCCCTACTCTGCTCTGATTGGCTAAAACTATGACCATGACTCACGTTATTTGTTGAAAGCCACAGTTTACTGTAATCCTGAGTTATCCACTGCAACAAACTTATTTATTTTTTTTACAGATGATGAAAATCAGTCGTGTGAATAGAGAACTTCCATCCCCAAAAACATCCAAGGACTTTTCAAGAACAAGTGAAATTTTGAGCTGTTTTCACAAACTTTCCAGGGCCTTGAAATCATTTTTTTCTTCAAATTTACAAACTTTCAAAGATTTCAAGCACTCGTGGGAACCCAGTCAAATGTTGTGTGGTAGTAGCTGAGAGTCATCCACGACCTATACTCTGAGTGGGACAGAATCTATCTCTGGTCTGACAGGTGGGTGGGCGGCGTGGCGTGGCGTGCCCACCAGTCTGCAGGTGAGGCCGACCACAGCGACGGGCGCCTGGGCAGACTGGGACACGTCGAACAGGTTGTACAGCAGCGTCTGGTTCTTGTGGTGGGCGAAGAGATCAAACTCATCCAGGACGAACAGCACCGGGCGGCTGCTGCTGCGATCACCTGGACGAGAGCAGAAACACAACCTCGCATGATAAGTGACATCGTTTCAAAACCACCCATTCTTTGGTCAAAATGTCCAAAAATAAAAATGGATTTGAACCTTTTTTCAACGCATCCAACAGGAACGCCAAGTTTTCTGCAAAGCTCCCCTGAAATTAAATAAAAACTTCAGTTTCTATTATTATTTTTTTTTATTATTATTAATCCACTGATGACAGTCTTGTGTGAATACTAGGGCTGCAACGATTAGTCGATTAGTCGACGACTAATCGATTATTAAAATAATCGATGACTAATTTAATAATCGATTAATCGTTTTCTTATTTTGTTCTTTACTTTGTTTTTCTCTCCAAACTGCTTTGACACCTTCCACTGCCACATCTGTCTTTCTGTCCTTGACACACATGCACAGTAGTGGTAACTGGGGTAGGCCGTGGACGTCACAAGACATTATACAGACAGGCTCTGGTATCATGGCTACCTGACAACAGAGCTCAAAGTGTGGGATCATTTTAAGAACATGAAAGAGAAACCTGTGTAATATCTGCAGAGCAGAACTCTCCTTACACAGCAGTTAGTTTTAGTTAGCATATGGCTAAAATCTAACCATGGTTATATAATAGCCACTGCATTCTGGCGCGATAAGCTGTATGTTTTGTATTCAATTAACGTATGATCCAATTAGTCGACTAATCAAAAAAATAATCGGTGATTAATCGATAACAATAATAGTTTGTGGCAGCCCTAGTGAATACTCACAAACACTTTGTCGCCGACAACGTTTTCCAGGTGGAGCTGTCTGGTTATTTCTTTCAGGGCGATTCTGTCATCCGTCTGCAGCAGACCTGCAGCAAACAGGGGGGAGAAAAGACTGAGCAAACATCCGGACCCTCCCGAGTACAAACTGTGGGTCCTGAACCGTTTGTTGATTACCGTTCAGATGAACCTGCAGGAGGTTCTTCTGCACTTCGCTTTCTTTTGACAACTCCCTGAGCACACACTTCAGCAGCTGCAACACACACACACACACACACACACACACACACCAGATGTGACGACCCTCCCGGGACTTAAGGCCTCAGTACATCTATGTTTTTCACCAGAAGCTCACCGTGGTTTTCCCTGCTCCTCTGGGTCCTACGATTAGCACGGAGTTGCTCTCCCCGTGGACGGCCGTCCGTCTCAGCAGCTCCTCCAGGTGCCTGCAGGGACACGGGGGACACTCAAGATCACCAAACTCCCAGCAAGGAAAAAAAAAAACAACAAAAGAAAAACATTGCTTAATAAGAAGAAATCATCAGGATTGCAGGTGGATTTCACTTCCTGCTCTGGAGTGCTGCTTTCGATCGAGTCCAAACCAGCTGCAAACTGGAACAGTCCTGTCGGCCAGGTTCCACTGAACTGGGTCACCTGATGTAGCCTGAGTTCAACATGGGGATTTTGGCTGCTATTTAAAATCAGCCATTTGACATTTTAGGGGTTTATACCAGAAAAAAAAAATCTAAATTTTTAAATCAACTCATTTCAAGTATACATACATTATTGTTAAAAAAAATTAAAAACGAGGCTGTTCCAAAAATTCTGAATTTGATATTTAAGCAGCTCAAGTCCAGTTAATAACTTGAATGGTAGTTCACACACTGATGGTGGTAAGCTACAGTGTAGCCACAGCTGCTCTGGGGCTCACTGACAGAGGCGGGGCTGCCATGCACCGGCGCCACTATCTGACCTCCATCAAAAGGCAAGGCGGGTGAAGTGTCTTGCTCAAGGACACGACGACTAAGACTGATGTCACAAGACATTATACAGACAGACTCTGGTATCATGGATCGAACCAACAACCCACCAGTTACAGGATGACTCCCCTAACCACTCCTTCACAACCACATGAAAGGGTACAAATATAAGAGCTGAACTGCCAGAGGTTTAAAAAAAAAGTGAAATGCTACAACAAACTGAAAGCCCAGCTGTCTGTAAGCTCTGTTTCACCATCACAGTGCAGTCAGGAACTGCTGGAAACTCTGACAGGAAGAGGTGTGGCAGAACCAACCCGGGATCCATCAGGACAACCCCAGACCATTATGGTGCGTTCACACCAAACGCGATTTCAGCATCAGGAGCAGCAGGTTTACATGCAAAGTCTATGGTGGACGCGCTTCAATCAGCGTCAGGAAGTGCTGCAGCGCCTCAAGCGCGATTAGAGCAGCGCGATTTGAACGATTTGAATGATCTGAGCGTTCGACACGCTGAGGTGCAAATCGCTGAAGTTAGAAAATCTGAACTTTTGCAGCTCGACGCGCCGCGTCAACCAATCAGAGAGACTCCACTGTGTGACGTAGCGACATATTTCCCGACGGGACAGTTTACTGAATGATGTCCACTAACCTGAAACAGATGGAGAGGAGCTCTTTAGCTGAAATGAGTGCCTGCAGTCGGTGTCCTGTCACGAGATATCTGCACCAATGCGTGGCAGCGACTCATCAGACTGGAAAAATAGTCCTGAAAGCGAGCTGTGAGCCTCTCCTCTGAATTATCTGGTGAATTAATTATGAATTAATTATCTGATGAACGTGACATGCTCTTGCTCTCTGTAAATAAAGCAAAGCCACTTCCTCGTCCGACATTAAACAGAGCCCGACAGAGGAGGGAGGGGCGGGGAGGCTGTTGCCGTGCAGCGCTTCAAGAGCTGTCCTGCGTCTGACCTCAAAGTGCGCAAGCTTCAAACTTCAGTGTTGGCTGTGATTTTGAAGCTGAAATCCCATTTGGTGTGAACGCAGCATCACACTTCTTCCTCCATGTTTATCAGTTGTCCCTCTGAGAAACTGTACTGATGAACTGCAGCTTTGTATTCATCACACCAACACCTTCTTCCAGGCTTCACTGGTTAGAGCTGGGCGATATGATCAAAATTTTATATCACGGTATTTTCAACATTTTCACCGGTTTCACATATTTGACGGTATTTTTCTTTTCATCACAGCTCAGCTGATAATAAAATGTACAAACCTGCTTATTGACTTTTTTTCTTTTTACTGTACCTCTGTCTGTGTCGCTGTTTCCCTCCTCTGTGTCTGTTCTTCTCTGACTGGTGGTTGGAGACAGTAGTCACACATTTTGGTCCAGTCATGAAGGAGGGTTAAGAAAAGATTATGATCGGGTTTATTGTTTTATGTTATTTATTAAAGCTTATCAGCACGACTCACCTTGCACACCAGTCAATTCCAACTTCACTACGAACTACTTCCTGCAGGCTTTTCACAATAGAACCACGTTAAGTCTCCATCAGCATAACGTCTCCATATTAACTAACCACGTTAAATCTAACTGTGCACGTCACTGAAGAGGTGTTTACTACATTCAGCGATGGTGAAAACGGGATGTTTTTTAAACGTCAGTCAATATAAGCAGCGGAATCGCCACCCGCTGCTGCAACTAGCTGCTCCAAACATTAACATGCTAATGCACATAGCGGTGCAGCAAGGAAAAATGTCCCCCGGGAAACAACAGTTCACTGGCGGCCATGACGAAACGTTCCGCTATTTAAACCGGAATGTCCGGGATTCAAAAAATTCATATAACAAAAATAAAAACCGGTATTCGGTACAAAATGGTATACTGCCCAGCACTATCACTGGTCCATTACTGGTGTTTCATGGTCCAGGCGAGCTTCTTTCTTATTCTGAGCTCTTAGAGATGGTTTTCTTGCTGCGACTCAACCTGCAGCTCTAAGTCCTTTCTTCAGTTAAAACAGACTTGCCTCTGTACCTCAATTAAGCTGTATTGTGAGGCTGTGAGCTGCTGTCACACACTGTGGACTCTCAAAAGCCTTTCCTCTGATGCTGTTGTGGCTCTGAGTCTGCCACACCTCTTCCTGTCTGAGTGGATTGTGACGGTGAAGGAAACTGGGCTCACAGATAGGGATGTCCCGATGCCGCTTTTTCACTTCCGATACGATACCAATATTAAAACTTTGAGAATTGTCCGATACCGATATTGACCGATACCGATACTGACCCATTACCATAACAGTACGAATCACACACTTTTACCTATTTTGTAATGTAAAATCTTAGAAAAGTCTTGATCAGGTCAAACAGTGAAAAAGAGTAGGTATGAGAAAAACTGACCCATTTATTTTTAACCAATGGATCACATACATTTTAAACTGAAGAACATTATACAATTTAATAAAATAAATTAGAAGACCCTGAAAAATCAAACATAATGAAAACAAAATGTTCTTTAAAGTATAAAATAACAATTCAAAATCATTTCAGTTGTTGTTTTTACTCCCTGTCAGCCTGATGCTGCTTTATGGTGGAAAAAACTGAAGGTGGGAACAAAACAAAACAAAACCTCACATTATTGTCTGTTCAAAGTTGAGAGCCCACAGCTCCAATTTTATTGACTGTAACTAAAACAACGTGATCATTGCACTTAATCTTCACTCAAACAAGTGTGTAAACAGATTAAACATCACTCTACAAACAAGAGCAAAAATAAACAGTAAGAATGAGTCAGTTATTTAAATTGATAGCTACCTTTCTTACTGCTGCATTTTCTTAGCATCATGTGGAGATCAGCCTCTTTCTCCTGCAGGGAGCAGTTTTTATCACTGCTCTCATCATGTCGCGTTTATATTTCAAAACCAAAGCTGCGCTCTCCTTTCTTCTGTCCATCAAGAGCTAATCCACGGGATGTCAAAACAAGCGTGCTGTCCTCGCTTCTGCCAGCTTAGAACCACCGACCGGACCAGAGAGGAGGTTCTGAAACAGCGTGGCTGTGTGCGGTCACTGGACCGAGGCTGAACGAACCGAGCCGAACCGCAAATCTGCTGCCAGGGTGGAGAGTAGTTGTCGCTCCGGTTTAAAACGTTCACGGTTCTGTGTTRCCCCTCGGAAAACTTGTGCGTGACAACTTTACACTTAGCTGCAACTCTGTTTTTGATGAAAACAGAAAGTTCTGCCGACAATCTTGCTAACCTGTTAGCGCAGCATGTTGTTGTGATCACGTGAGCGCTACCTGCTGGATCCAAGCGCTGCTGGATAGAAACACTGGAGCGGAGCCAGTGAACTGCTGGAACGGACTGCTAATATCGGAGCGCTTTTATCGGACATTTTTTATTCAGGCCGATAAAATCCGATACTCATTTTTTGGCTGATATCGGACCGATATCCGATATCAATATCGGATCGGGACACCTACTCACAGACATCTTGACTCTCAGTTTTGGGTAACCTTACATTGTTTTAAACCTCTGGCAGTTCACCACTCCCTTTGTACTCTTTTAAACTGTTCACAAGATTTGACCTGCTTGATTTGCAAAAAACTGGAAAAATGAGGGTTTTCTAAAACCTTTGACCAGTAAGTAATGTTAATGTAATAAATAATTTCTTCTCAAAGTGACACAGAAAGCACTAACTTGTGTTGAGCTTCCACTCCTTCAGGCCGCTCAGGGAGCCGCTGATGACAAAAACGCTCCCTTAACGTTTGATGAACCTAAAAACAAAAAACAGTGCATCATTGCCTTTAACTTTTCACATCATAAATATAAACTGTAAGAAAATAAAGTCATGTACACAAACCTGAGAGATACATTCTCCAATGGGCAGATGTGCATTTTGGACTTTTCTCTTACTCATGATATGACAGGACTGTAAGACATGTGAAAAACAGGACATTTGTCCAATGAAAGCACTTCAACAACAAATCCAACATCACCAAAGTCTGTTTTTGTTCCATTTGTTAGATACTTTAAAACTATTCATTGCAAAACATGAAATCCAACTTTAAAACAATTATCCTGAACTATATCAAAGAGTTCACTTTGAAAGGGTTTACTCCAGTAGCAATATGGAAGTCTGAAATGCAGGTACACACTCAATGCAAACAAAACACTTATGTGCATACTCTACTCAACAAAACTGAGTGTAAACACACATCACTTTATCAGAGTTGTTGGACTTCTCACCTAAGGACGTCACCTTCTACTTTAAACCTACTTTAAATCACTTTTTCTGTTTCTGGAGGTAAACAAACACACATCTGGACACAGATTTATCATTTTGTGATTGAGAACACATGATGTGAAAATAAAAACAATGTAGATTTTGTTTGTTTCTCACTTGGACTTTTTTTTTAATAGTCTTCATGACATTGCAGTGAGTACATTTAATTTAATGATAGCTATTGTCACTTGGGTTAACTAGACACTGTTAACCTCAGTAACTGTCATTTAAAAATAGAATAACCTTTAATGAAGACATGCACGGTTCTATATTATGGTATATTTTGACCAAGATGTCGCTCTACCTGCAAAGCTCTCTTAATATTCCTTTTATTGAACTTTTCAGCTGCTAAAACATGTAGATGAAGTGGCTGCCCAAGTTCAATTCAGTTCAAGCTTATTAAACACACAGAAGCCTGATCCATAGTCAAAATAAAGCAGGAAAAAAAACTCATAATACTACTTCTGCTAATTAAAAAAAGGATGCATACATGCATGCCTATCTGAGCTGATGACCAGGTCCTGTATAAACAAGTCTCTATTGTCAGAGAGATTACTAGTGAGGTCGTGTCCAGGATATCTGAGCTCACCTCACATGGAGAGAATGTCCACAAAGACAGAGATCAGGAAAACACAGCTTCTGATCTTCCTTCGTTTTTACAATAATCATGTGACTTTTAGAGCATTATACTTGAGCTTGAACTCAGCTCCATAACTAACAAAATAACAAATATTCAAGAGCTTTTGTAGGCCAGAACTGTACGGGCTTAACAAAACTAGGTCATCAGCATCAAATGGTTACATGCACCTCCAACCAGACCAGCTGCTCTGACACCTGTGATAAGGAAGTGTTTTGAGAAACTGTCCCAACATCTACATCAGACTCACTTCAGTTGAGCCAACAGATCGACAGGATGCCATCGTCACAGCGCTCCAAGGGACCACCTGGGACAACAGGGACACTATGCTGGGCTGCTCTTTATCCACTTTAGCTCTGCTTTTAATACAATACTCCCAGACAGACTGAGAGGAAAACTGACTGATATCGAGCTTCCTCACACCACAGGGGTGTGTGCTGAGTCCTCTGCTGTACATCCTGTACACCAGTGGTTCCCAAACTTTTTATCTTCTGACCCAAAAAATATCCATGGCAAAAACTTGTGACCCCAAATATTACTGGTCTGAGTACATGAACTTTGTTATAACCCTAAAAACACAGGCTTTTTTGTCAATCTAAACAGCTTGTACATGAATATAAATACTTATTTATACTTATTTTGTGTTTTTGTAATAATTATAGGGAAAATATTACATCAGCAATTATTTTATTACCCTTTAAATTGATTTCTGGAGATTATCCAAGGTGATTCATGACCCATAATTGGGTCCCAAGCCCAACTTTGGGAACCAAAGTGCAGTGGTTCCCAAACTTTTCAGCTTTTGACCCACAAAATAACAGTAGCAGAGACCTGTGCCCCCAACTATATTTGGATGATAAACATTTGTATCAGGTCAACAAAACAAGGGCATAGTAACAATATTTCTATACTACATTTATCCATTTTAAATATACTAACCTCACTCATTTGTAACAACTAAGGCAAAAATGTAATTAATTCAGAAAATCTTTTCAGGACCCCACCTTGATGTTTTGGGACCCCACTTTGGGTCCCGACCTCAACTTTGGGAAACACTGCTGTACACACACAACTGGGTCAGCCCGCACCCAGATGATGTCATCTTCAAAGTCCACGACGATACCACCATAGTGGGGCTCATAGCTGATGACAGCATGCAGGTATGAGGTTCAGAGACTGGTGTGCAGATTATAATTTGGTCCTCGTCACCTCTGAGACCAAAGAGCTGATCACTGACCTCAGGGGGAGGTGGAGGTCCGACCTGCAGCCACTCTCCATCAGTGAGGAGTGTGTGGAGAGGGAGCCTGACTTCAAGCTTCTAGACGTGGACCTGATGCAGACCTCCACTTCTGTTCCACTGAGTGTGTGCTTACATACTGTTTCTGTGTGGCTCTCCAGCTGCACCGTGGCACACAGGAAGGTAGGGGACAACACACACTCAGGACTGAGAGCACAGAGTGAGGAACAGGTTTTACTGCAGGGTAATAACACTACTCTGTGCATGCTGATGTGATCCCATCTTCTTATGTTGTAGTTTATTCATTTATTCATTTTGGTTTTTATCATTCATTTATATTTTATTTGTGGCCAGTGTACCAGGTTGGGACTACACCACGATTTCTTTCCACTATTGTACAAAGTATATGCAATGACAGTAACAATCATTTTATCTTGTTACATCATTAAGTTGGACAGACAAGTCATCACTAAAACTATTAATTAAAAGTGAAGATCACACTCCACCCTGCCGAACACCCTTTCTCGCGTTGACAGGGTCAGGTATAGGATCACCCTAGTTTACTCACATATTCTGACAAGAATACCAAAAATATTCTGATAAAATGTCCTAAATTCACTGTGATTAAACGCCTCAGAACTATCAGAAGTGTTTTCGGTAAGAAATAAAAGTCCTTGGAGAGTTTTCTTTACGCCGAATTTTAAAGCGACATGTTATTGTCGACAATTATTAGCAGATTAAATGGAAAATTGCCTAAAATCCAGTCAACGACTAGAAAATGACTAATTTGTCTTCGTGAAATCGTGGAGTTTGGCGACATTACGTGTGCTCGTGTCCGGGGCTCAGATTCGCAGTAAATCATCCACGCTCTGTATATTTCTTAGTCGAGCGACATCATTTGTGTAGTTTGCTAACAACAACAATCAACACACTCGACATAAAGATATATTACCGTAGTTTACCAGAAGACTTCTCGTTTGAGGTGAGATTGATCTTCGCGGGAATACGGCACGGTTAGCAGTGACGACTTCCGGCTTTGACTCGATCTCCCCTCCTGATTGGCTAATGGGCGTGAAGTGGGAGAGAACATGTTGAAACAGTCGATTTAAATTATTTCAATAAACTTCATATTACATTCATTCAATTCAATTATAAATTAAATAGTAACAGCACTACTACTACTACTACTACTACTACTACTACTACTACTACTACTACTACTACTACTACTACTACTA